TCCTGACCAGACTGGCTGTGAAAAGACACCTTCCTGTAAAAATGACCTGAAACAAGCTCAAATTTTGCCACAATGCAATTGTACACATCTGGTGGATCACCTTGAAACATAAAAAGCCGTATTTCTAATGTTGAACTCTTAATTGACCTGACAAAAGATAAAGTAATTGGAGCAGTGACAACTTTCAACAGTCACTAGGTCCTGAGGGCTGATTTCAGTCTAAGCGCCCACTAAATTACATGGGATATAATTTACAGTCCTTATTGTGTCTAAAAATGCTTGAAAGTACAACTGAAGTTAATGTGAGGCTTAATCAGTCAGAGAAATTTAGAAGGTAGGCTATCTCCCAAAATTATAGTTTATTTAGTAGAACATTTCCTCCTTATGTTATTTGATGTCACACATCTGTCTCTGTGCGTGGCTTTAAGGGGGCTCTGTGCAAAATTTAGAGGGAATGAATTGTCTGCAGATAGAGCTGACCATGCTAGCAGCTAGTGATGCTAACAGCGGCAACAGTGCTGACAAGGCTAACAGTGTTATCAAGGAAGGAACCTGAGGGTGTGCGCTACACTTCTCTGATGATGGCATCATAAAATCAGTGGTAACTGCCGTATGAGTGCCATGTGTGACCGGCGTACCACAACACACAACAGAGAAGCTCGGACAACAACACACACAGAGGAAGTTTGAGTTTATTCTTTGCTCAGGACGCCATTACGTATTAGTACGCTGAGTTCACTTACAGAACCTTTAAAGGAGCTGTATGTGACATTTAGAGCACATATTTGATTCAGAGTCTGATTCAGGTTGTCTGCACAACACAGAGGTGGCTAAGCTAGAGGCTAGCAACTACCGGAACTAGCAGCTACCAGTGCTAACAGCGCAAACAGGGCTATTATCGACAACAGTGCTGACACAGCTAAGAGTTTTGACCAGCGTAGGGAAACCGAATGGTGGGTGTTATGCTTCGACAATGATGCCATGGATCTGGACAGCATTATCAGTGATAACTGCTGTATGAGCGCAGTGCAGAGCGTCGGCAGTTAGCTAGCCATAGGGATACACACACAGGGATTCAAATGCTTAAGTAGCCAGACCATCTACCACAACAAATAACAGAGAAGCTCTACATCTTTACATAGCAAATAGTGGTATGTTTTGAATATTGTATACAGCTCCTTTAATGCACATCTTCAGGATTGTTGGTATTACCCCTGTACTTCATACTGTAAACTTTTGCGTACTCCTTGAATATTTTGCACATCTTTTGCGCAGCTCTCTCATTTCAAAACATATAGTATAATGTGCGTATTTTAATAGTATTTTTTAAAATATGTGTTCATTAAATTTTCTGGTCAATACATTTTTGTTGTACTTTTGCAGTACTTGCCTTTATCTTGTATTTTCTCTTCCCATGTTTATTGTTATGCACCAGAACACCAAGACAAATTTCTCATTATGCTAAAACCTACTTGGCAATAAATCTGATTCTGATACTACCCTACTACTGCAGCTCAGTAAAGGAACACTCTGAGGAAAAACAATGTGGGAAAGTAGTGCTAAAAAGATCTCAATCTTTGCAGCAATCAACTTGAATTAACTAACTCAGATTGCTAAAGCCTCATATTAGCTTCACCTTCAGTTAAAATGTATTTGGAGTTTGTCCTCCATCACCTATATTGAAACCATGGCCAATGTGGACAGGAGGAACAGTTTCAGCAACCAATAACTCTTTCAATGTGCAAATGGGCATGTGAATGTTGTTTTGACATAGACTTGAAAAATTCTGAACATTTCCTTTAAACACTTAAGTAAAGACAAAAAGCTGTTAAGACACCTGCGAAACAGACAAATGAACTCTCTGCTCTGTCCCGGGACATGTGTGTGAGTGACCAACCATTAACCGTGAAAATCTGCCGTGCCTGTCCAAACCATCTCCTCTCTTTGATCTCACAAACTCATCAATATCTCTCCGACCAACGCACCCTAACTTACCGAGCTCTTACTTCTTCTGCACATTCTGTCCATCGCACCCCGGGGAATTAGCCATGGAGGGGGGGGACTCATGGTTCAGGGGGTCAGACACGTGGGCCATCTCTGCTGCTCACACATAACCATCCGACACATAAGTTACAGCACCAAAGGACCACTTAAAACTGCAGTGTGTGAATGAAGAGTTAAAAGTTAAATGCAAACGTGGATGCTTCTGTGTAAACCTCGATGGAAAAAAAGAAGAGAGGAGAAGAGAGTCCCCTTCACATAAGGAGTGTTGGTTGAATTTCTAAGAGATGAGAAGGATTATCGGGCTATATTTAGCTCTTGCCCACAAGGGCAGAGGGAGATAGTAGTTGTAGTATAGCATGATAATGCTATTACCATTCCATCTCATCGCTGGCAGTCACATGATCAGCAGCAAAGAGTGGTATTTCCTGCCCTGAGCTGGGCACGGTGACACCGCAGAGCGTTAAGTATTCTCCTGGTGGTGCTGCAGAGGAATTATACCGTCTTGTCCTCTTTAAACATAAATTACTGATTTATGTGGCAAGCAGTGTCCTTATAAAAAGCTAATTTATCGGAGCTTTTCTTTGCATCTTCATGAAAAGCTTTTTTCTCTCAGTAATACATCAGTGGCACATTTCAACCTGACCTGGACCCAGGAGCACATCCAGTCAGTTAGATCACTGTATCACCTGTTTTAGATTTGCGGCAGCTCGGGCCGAGCTGGGCTCATAATGTAACATTAACTTTCCTTCCTGTTCCATATGAAAATTTAAGCATAATCCCAGAAGTGCAGTTAAAAAATAGCGTGCTGGCCAAATGCAGCTCCTGGTCACACACACACACACACACACACACACACACACACGGCAGTGGCAGATCATTTACCCCCGAAAAACCACCAAAGTGAGGTAAAGTCTTTGGTTTTAAACAGTTCCTTTTTACAAGCTCTGGCTGCTCCAGTGGTGACCTGAGCAGGACAGTGTGGCAGATATATATAAAATGCAGCAGGGTGGTTAGGCCATCACCGGTGCCGCCTCAGCTCTAAAGGAAGAGGTTAACATTTTGGGAAACACTCTGACTCACTGAGAGTTAAGGCCTTTGCACACCAAGTCTGTATTCTTTGCACACAGTTCTTAAAATCCATCATCTGATAAAAATCATTACGCAGAAACAGGGCTAACACCTGACAGTCAGGGACTGAAATCATCAGTCGGAGACCCCTTAGTCAATTGAAATTCCTTTAAGTCGAGCAGTGTGCAGTCTACTTTTGGGGAGGTTTTGCCCGGTCAGGCTCTCAGGTAACGTCATCGTCTGCCTTCTGCTCAGAAGGGTGAATTCACATCTCACAGCAACTTCATACGACGCAGTCTCTGGCTTTTGTTTGACATCTAGTGTTGTCACAAAAAGTTCATTCATTCATTCATCTTCTAACCGCTTCATCCTCTTGAGGGTCGCGGGGGGGCTGGAGCCTATCCCAGCTGACATCGGGCAAGAGGCAGGGTTCACCCTGGACAGGTCACCAGACTATCGCAGGGCTGACACATAGAGACAGACAACCACTCACACTCACATTCACACCTACGGACAATTTAGAGTCACCAATTAACCTGCATGTCTTTGGACTGTGGGAGGAAGCTGGAGCACCTGGAGGAAACCCACGCTGACACAGGGAGAACATGCAAACTCCGCACAGAAGGGCTCCCACACCCGGGATCGAACCAGGAACCCTCTTGCTGTGAGGCGACAGTGCTAACCACCACACCACCATGCCGCCCATCACAAAAAGTTGTTGCACATTAATGGTCCATTGTTAGCGCAGTTAGCTTGTCTGCTATATTATGTAAGTGTCACTGACAAACTGAACTTAACCCTGGCCAAACACTCAGACTCTATGGAAGAAAAAGGAACACATAGTTGAACATTTGTTTTCAAATCTTATTCGACTGACATAATTTTGAGTCGGGTACAGCCTGACACAGAAACCTTGGACACTGAATCCGATATGTTTTGATGTTCTCTGGCAAAATTGCGGCAAAGTCTAAAGACATTTCCTGCTAGTATTATTTGTCCAAAATGATTGCATGTTTTAAAAATGAATACAATCTCATGTTTTGTCATTCACGTTCAGCTCTGATACTTTTGTTCTTTGTTAAAATTTTCGGAACAGGTCTGATTTTCTGTTTTTGCACCTCTGTCAAAAGCCTTTAGAGTATTTTTTTGTCCAAGAAGCAGCAAAAATGTGGCGTTTTCTTCAAGAGAGAGGAAAAGGGTGCACAGTATCATTTCACAAGTCAGACAGCTTATTTTCAACAGGTCAGATAGTAATATTCAGATGGATGATGATGACAAGGAAGAGGATGTTATAGAGGATGAGGAGTGCACACAGACTGTAAAACGGAGAGACAGTGTGGTGACAGAGAGGGAGGACAGCTCAGGCCTTTTAGCCGATGTGCCAAATGCAAGATATGGGCGGGGTGGTGACATCCAGGGAGGTACTTCCACTGGAGAGATGTAAGGGAGGAAATGTGTCTTTAGATTTTGCCTCATTTTGCAAAGTTTGGCAATAAAAAGAACTCAGAGTTCAAGGTTTCCGTGCGGATTACAGATTAAAAAAACGTTTAAAAAAATACAGACTTGGTGTGCAAAGGTCTTTAAAAGACTGTGTGTTACTTATAAAGCTACAACCACAAAATGATTAGCTTAGATTAGCTTAGCATAAAGACTGTAAACACAGGGAAACAGCTAGCCTGGCTCTGTCCAAAGGTAAAGAAAGATCTGCTCCTCTAAAGCTCAATCATGACCACGAAATGGTCCCACAAGTGAAATCACAACTTTTACACTTGCACGGAATAAACACACAACATGTAATGTGTTAGCGAGCTTCAGAGATGTTTGTAGGGGACCGCCAGGCTAGCTGTTTCCAGTCTTTACGCAAAGCTTAGCTAAGATGAACATTATGAGTTTAGATAAATCGAACATAACAGAGTCAAATCATCAAAGACTGGTAACTAATGTCATTTATTTATTTTTCTGGCAAAGTCTAACGCTCACACTTAGGCTCGAGACAACATAAGCAGAAGGAGAACAGCATAAAAAAGTGAACAACATTACAGGTAATCAAACCATGACCTTAATCAGTATTACGACCACAGTCTTAATCCAGATGAGTAACTGAGCATAGAGTCCAGCTGCAGCTGTTCCCAAGCGAAGGAGCCTTTCCATCACAGATTACAGGGATCGTTTCTGCTCAGGTCCTCAATCCAGATGTTCGAGCCAAGAGACCGTTCAACAAAGCGGGGTTTGAAGTGTTGGAAAAGTGGACAGACGGGATGCTGTATGATCAGTTTTTCAGTCACATGGCTCGGGCAGGACCTGACCTACCGACCTCGCGACCTCGCCGCCTCACCTCTTGGCCTTCTTCTCCTTCATGATCTTCTTGCTCTCCTCTCTCCGCCGTTTATTGACGGGATTGCGTGGGTCGTAGATCTCGAAGGTGTCCTCATCCTGCATGTTGGCATCCTTGACTTTTCTGGTTTGCTCATCAAACTGCAAAACATGGGCCATCCTAAATCAGACAGAGAGAGGTGGAGAGAGTTCAAAGAAGAGTGGCAGATGATCCACTAAATCACAGATCTGTAGAGCTTTTACCCAGAGGCTAGTCTCTCTTTGCTGTGGGCAAGTTTGATCACAATGTCAGCATCAAAAATGGGAAAAACGTGAATTTGAATTTGCTGTTTCTATTATTCTGATCGCTGCTATTGTTTCAAGCTCAAGTCATCATGGATGTATAAAACACACTGTACATGTATTTTATAATTTTGCTGTTTATTGTAAGCAAAAAACACCAAGACAAATTCCTTGTATGTGAAAACCTACTTGGCAAAAAACCATACTGATTTTGATATAATAATAATGATAATAAACTCAATTTCTTTTCAAAAAGATGAGGACAAAACATTCAAACAAGCAGATAAAGGTGATACATTCAGAAACAAAGAGATGGAAACTAAACATTAAAAGTAAGAAAGAATAAAAAGTAGGCTGTTGTAGAGGATCAGTGAGGTGTCATCATATATTAACATACTTTGAATTAAACATTATTATATATTATTATCACAAAATGGCAACAGTCTGTATTTACCAAAAAATGCAGCATATTTTGGGACAAAAATCCTACACTTTCAAAAAAGGGGAAGAGGAAAAATTTGCAAAACCTTTACAAACAGACAAAGTGGATTACTCTTTTCAGTTTTATGTTTTGCATTTTAAGGATTTGAGCTATAGTTTTTGACAGTGCAATGTGGAAAACTGCAATACTTGTATTCAAGTTATAGCAAAACTACTAAAGGAATCGCACAAAAAAAAGACCACTTCCTGTGGCGGAGGAGCAACAGGTATCTGAAGAGTTTCTCTTGGTACAAAGTGAGAGATACAGTATTAGGGCTCATATTTTTGAGACTTCTTAGCAGTTCAGAAATCCGGAAAGAAAGCCCTGGTCCCCAGAGAACAGACGCTCATGTGTCTTTCATTTCCCCAGTCAGTTTCTCTTCCCCCAAAGACAGATTAAAGAATCAGGACATTCCTCACAGGAGATATCAGTGTCAGGCACTTCACAGATAAAACACATTTTCTCTCACTGACACGATCTCCTCAGCTGCTGTGCAAACGCTATCAGTAAATCTAAACAACAAAGCAGGAGTGACTAATCAATTGTGTGGACCCATTTTTGGCCACATAACCCCGTCATGTTGTCAATCTGATACATCCTCCTGCGTTCATGTTTGAGTGGAAAACTGAAATAACTGAAAAAGTGTTGGTTCGGTTCAGGGAAAACTTTTTAGTCATGCTAACAGCAGCATGGCTCCAAGGATGTTAACCTAAATCTGCCTCTTTGGTCCAGACTGAAATATCTCAACAAAGATCGGATGGATTGCCATGAAATCTTTTACAGACATTCGTGATCCCCAGAGGATGCATCCTGATGACTTTTCATCTAGTGCCATCATCATATCAAACTTTAAATTTGTCTGATACTTTGGTTTATAACCAAATAACTGCAAAACTAAATGGCATTCCTGTTAGCCAAAGCTGTACCTCTTTTGTAGTGCTAATTAGCAAATATTAGCATGCTAACATGGAAAACTAAAATGGTAAATGTGGTGAACATTATACCAGCTAAACATCAGCATGCTGTTACTTTTGAGCTCAAAGCCCGCTGTGCTTCAGTATAGCCTCACAGAGCTGCTAGCATGACTGTCGACTGTTGGGATGTCAGTAAATTCCATCAGAGCTGCTGATCTTTGTAATCCCCGTCCTTCCACACATTCTGATGTCGGATTAGAGGGGATTGTGTCTGACAATTTCTGTAAGTTTCCAATATTGACAATCTGATGTTCACACTCAATATATGCCATGATTGGCTGTGTGGAGATGAGAAAGGAGCCAGGGATCAAACTTCTCTGTCAAGCTCTCTGCTTTTGTTTGTTAAGCTGCAAACCCTTGCAATTTAGGAGTTGATAATATTCCCGACCTCTGATCTCAATGCATCCCAGTGCATCTGCTCACGAAAACATAGATACCCGCAGCAGGCTAATTTTTGCAGTTGGCGTGTGGAAAACCAATTGAAACATTACCAGAACAGGAAAACAAAGAGCTGGACTGAATTGCAGCAGAAGACCAAACCGTCTAATATATTGAGATATATGAGATATTCCTCATGCAACTTGGCATTGCCTCAGACTTTAAGACCTACCGTAACTAAAAATACACCTTTAAAGAATTTTGACATTTTAAAGAACCCTCTTAGAAGAGAGAGGAGTAGGCTAGTACCATAGCTTGCAGAGACATCTATCAAGCACAAATCAACTGAATGAAAATGGCAGCTACAACGTTGTTACAGCAAAACATAAAAGCTACATAAAACACTAAATAAAGTAAAAATTGATGAAAAGGTTATTCTGCTAATGGTTCATTTTTTTGTGTTGCCAGGATGCTGTGACGTTAGGTGTGTTTATGTTGGGGAACTTAGGCTAGATTGATCCTGCCCAAGTTTCTGACTTGAATGACCTTTACATTGTATTTCTTTGTGTCGGAGGTCGTTTTTCTGAGTAAAATGGTTACACAGCTATCTCTGTCACTTCGCATGTGAGCCAGGAAGTGCAACACTAAAAATATTTATTGGTATTGCAACCATTTTACGTTGATTGTCAAATGAACACGATAAAAACAAGGTAGACTGTCTGAAAAAGTGCACTGTTATTCCCGTTTTTCAATGATATTCTCCCCCCTCTCTTAAGGTTCATTCTCACTGCCGCGATGTGGAAATGCGGGACGGATTTGCGGAATATTCGCGCAGCGCTTTTCTGCGTTCAAATCATATACACAGGCGCGGTACGGACGCGGTGCGGAATTTGGCGTTGTTGTGTTCCAATTCCATGCAGTGTGAACAGGTGTGGGTGAACATGGACGAGAGTAGCAGCAGCAGCAGCAGCAGCGAGCTAGCAAGCTAACATTTAACAAACGTCAACATCAACTTTCTTTAGCACTTACCACTCTCACCGCAGCCACCAAGCTGGACAATGGACTGCCAGACGTTGTCCTTTAATTCATTGTTCATAGAATCATCCCGTCTTTTATCAAAAAGGACGGGGTGCTGTGAAACGAGGTTCATCAACCTTTCTCCCATACTGTCCTGACTGGCTGGATTTTGGACTCTCCCGGGTCTGCGCGACTATAAACAAACAATTTCACTGGTCCAGCTGTGCAGTTCTGCCAGCGAATTCCGGGGGGGGTCAAAGTCTGGGCGGAAACTTTTTTCACCGCATTAAAGTTCCACCCCGGTGTGCAAACTTCCATAAGAACCCATGAAATCAACTTTTATATTTTTCCGCGAGAATAATCCATGCAGATATTCGCTCTCAGTGAGAATGGACTTTTTTCAGCTCTTTTTACACAAAGATGGCGCTATAGAGTCACCTAATAAGTCCCTTCTTTATCCCTCCTTTGCATTTTTACACAGAACCAAACAATGGTGGCATGATTCCGCTCCAGTGTGTGATTTTAAATGGTATCCCTACTTCGCCAAATCAATCGGGCATGACAATTAACATAACAGTATCAGCTTCTCGTTTGACATATAACATTTGTGTCGGCAGCACTTTATAAACATAATATGGCAATAGCAATCATGTACCGTCTCTGTTACATGGCAGCTGATCTCATCCTCTGCTCAGAGGGTAAGGAGCTCCCAAATCACAGTGGTTTCCTAAAGCTACTGTTCTTCTTTGAGTTAGCTGCTAACTGCTAATAGCTGCTTATTAAATCTCCCAGGGTGGGTCGCACACATAACAGGTCTTAAAAATTTTACATTCATCCTGCCCATGGTCCCGTCCTGCCGGCGGGCCCATTTATACAGACATGGTTTTGGCGCTGTTACTATCTCCCGTGGCAGATTAATGGCAAGACAACTCGGTTCCCTGATTCTGCGATCGTACCTTATATACATGCATCTTGATATTCATGCCTTGAAAAGGCAGTGTAAAGGCCCGAACATACTCGGGCGGAACGTATGCGGAACAGACTCCGCGAGGAATGTCCGCAGTCATTCGGGCTTTCATAGTCGAGCACACTTCCGCGTTGTAGTTTCCTGTAAAAATGTCCGTGAAAAATCCCTGCGATGTGAAAAATACATGCCGAGCAGTCACTGGTGCGTGGCGCGGAGTCCGTGCGGTCGTAAAATCTGAGCTTTGCGCGCACAGGGCTTGCGGACGTCCGCTTTGAGTCCGCGCAGACCTCCGTGGAGTCCGTTCCGCGTACGTTCCGCCCGAGTATGTTCGGGCCTTAAAAGGGCTTTAGATGGCCAGCTTTTCACTCTACTGTCCAGTGTGGCCATGAAAAAATGTTTTCATGGAAGAAAGACACATTTGATTTTGAAACAACAAGTCATTCACATGACTTCTTTTCTAGCATAACCTGACCCTCAGTCATGTTTTTTCAGGGTACTTTTTGCCTTTAGATAGTAAACAGAGGAGGTGCTACAGAAAATGAGGAGAAAGAGGGGGACATGGAACATAGGTCTTAGACGCCAGGCCACCGGGACGCTGATCATTAGTTGTTATCTGACTCAATTTACTGCTGCCCATCAGACATCCTGTTGACGTCAGTAGACTCAACTATAATGCATCTACGTTAGCATCAGTGGGTTCACTCATACCGCCTTAACGTCACAATCTTTGAACTTTCCCTTTAAAGTTGATGATCAACAGGTCCGTCTTATCTAGCTAGAGAAAAAATATTTACATGACCTTGTGTTGTGTATGTCTGGGTGTGTATACTGTGCTCATGCACTACATAAAGAAACTGTGTATTCTCTGTTGTATATTTTGAAATACTTTGATGCCTTGTCTACTGTGCATAGCATGTGGTATGTGTCTGAGCGCTCACAGTTAGTGTGTGTGTGAGTGTGTGTGTGTTCACTCTGCACTCTCTCCGGTGTTCATTTGAAATCGGCAGGAGTTGTGACAGCTCATCTAGAATGTCATGGCTAGACTCTGGCAGACCCTGAGGACTCCTGCTGTGTGAGCAGGCCGCCTCTGATAATTTGTCTAGCAGTCTCAGTGATGACAGCCCGCCGGCCGTACGCTCCTCGGAGTCACACGGCTCCGAGACGTGAGGTAGAAACCCGGCGTTACCAAAACCGCTCTGTGCTGCCATGATGCGACGCTACAGAAGCCTTTTCTTGATTTATTTTTTTTGCCTTTTTTTTTTTTTTTTTTTTAGGGGGTGGGAATTAAGGAGTACAGGAGGGATGGTGGGAGCAACTCCTTGCATTGTGGACTCTCAATGTGAGCTTGTGTGTGTTAGCGGAGACTGAGAGGAGGAAGAGGAGGAGGGGGCTGAAGAGGGAGAGTCAGAATTTGTAGACACAGACACAGATGGAATAGTTTACCTCCTCTGGCCCAGACTTGACTTCCAATGTCTGACCTGTTGTAACCCACATTCTGTTCGCAGCGCTCCTAGAGTGGCACAGACTTCCCACTGGTGTTTTTCTAGGACTGCTATGCTACTGCCCCTGTCCCTCCCTCCCTCCTCGCCCATACCTGGCGGGGGCGGCACAGTGAGGTGTCTACAGCCGGGAGAGGCTCCAAACGCCAGCCAAGGCTTCTCTCAAATTCATTAGGGCCCCCCCACTCACACACACACACACACAGACAGACTGCACTTCAAGGGGGCTTTCTCGAGACTAATAGCAACTACAGATTTTGTTATTCTAAATCTCTCACACACAGACACTTTGCTCAAATTCAAACACATGGTATTCATTTCAAACCCTGTACTCTGTGTAGTTAGACTTTGAGATCTTTGGTGAAAAACAGAATATGAGAGGAAAACACAGCGTCAGGGCTGATTTCCTGATGGCCAATCTGGTGGCTGCGGGTTGAAATCCCAACTCGACGCACACACACATGCATACAACTTGAACTTTCACACACATTTATCAGAACCCCAAAGCAAGCTTTGGATCTGGTCGGCTTCATCATTCCTGCTACAAAGAAGGATTTTCTGCAGCATTTGACCATTTTAGTTTTCTCATTAAGGCTGAGCTCACTATTATAATAAATGGTTTCTTTTTGCAGTCTCTTACAATCCACCACGAGGGCATCAATAGGAACAGCACAAGCAGTGGAGGCTAATGAAAAAGGCCTCTCCGTGCCAACTTGTCATGCTCTAACTTCAGCGTCCAAAAAGCAGTGCGTTTGCCAGACTGCTTCTTGAACTCTCCAGGAGCACTCAGGACTCACAAGCAGCTCAGTGCTGTTGTTAATATCTGCTGCGGTGAATAGTGTCAGTGATTTAAAGCTGAGCACAGACTACTTACGCGGCAGCTATTTCATTCTGTCTCGTCCAGTATTCTTTTTTCAGAGGCAGAAGAATTCATACAGTTTATCATGAAATACTAACACAACTTTCCTCCTTACTGAGGTTGGTATGAAGTTGTAACAGCTGCAGATTAGATAACAAATACTAGAAAAACGTAAAAAAGGCAGTAACAGACAACTTGCCCATATATATAACCTGATAAGTGAGCGTATAAGTGTAACCATTTTACATTCAGATCATTTAACCATTTTGCGACATGCCATATCTGTATGACTTGGCGTTATTTTATTAGTGAGTAGATTTATGATTTGACTAGAAGTGTGTGGCGGTGTATTTATCTGCAGACTCTGGCCTCTGCCTGGATTTCCTTATTTTGCAGTGTTTGGGACATTCCTGGACACAGAGTGCAGGTGAAGTCAGGACTTTATAAAATGTTAGTGACCAGATGCCAGACCATAAGCTGCACACATCCAGGAGGAAGCTATGAACACAGCGGACAAGGCACAGAAAAAAAGCCCCAAATATATCAAGGCGAAACACCAATCAGGGGTTGCTGGTGATAATGTTCATAAAGAGTAACAATTCCTGAATAGTATACCTTTAAGAATTTTTTCTGCCACTGAATCAGTTGCTGTAAGACAAGTAAACGCAAAAAAAGGATTTTGAGGCCGAACCAAAACAGTTGAGTAAAACCAAAATGATGATCTGGAAGATGCTAAAATGCTCCGTTGAGAAGGCTTGTGACCTGGCCGCCATGTTGAAATAGTCACACTTAGGGCCGTAAAGGTACATGTATTTGTGTCGAACCGTTCGGTACGCGACTTCCGGTTCGGCACGACCCTGTACCGAATTATTGGGCGCAGGATATTATTTTATTTTATTTTGTTTTATTTTAATTCCGTTTTTGCGAGCCGAACCATTTAAAATATCTAGTTCCCCGACTGACATAATTGAGTGACGCACAGAGTCCCGTAAATCTCCGCTTTCACTTTGTGCATGGTGTGGGTTAAAATGAAAAAGAAAGTGACAAACACATAAGCCGTGAGCCTGCTCCGCCTCAAGCCGGTCACGACGCACCATACGCCCGCCGCGAGCCGTTCAGCACCGCGGACAGTCAGACTAATGGGATGTCGAACCAATAACATGGACCCCATGGCAAGTGAGCCTGACGAACCTGAAGATCCACCCGCAAACCTTAAGTCCTCCGTTCGGGAACACTTTGGTTTCAGGGTAAAATACGAAGATAGAAATAAACAAGTTGACAAGACAAAAGCAGTGTGCCGACACTGCAGAACAGATGTCGGGTATGTACTTGGAAACACGTCTAACATGCTAACGCATCTAAAGCGACACCACCCGAGTTTGAACGTTAACTGGCATGACTAGAAAAAGCAATCTGGTGCAAACTACGATATTGTCATCTTTAAAAAGAAAGAGCGTTTCCCTGACCATCGAGCTAAAGAAATAACCAACGCCATTGGAGTTGAGTAAAATTGTTTAAGCTGCACTTTAGATATAAGCGTGTTTTGTTGACTGCACTTTAACAACATGGGAAAGCTAAGTAAGTTCCTAGTAAAACTGAATCTGAGCAGGCTTTAAAGCTGACCAGCTGCACTGTACTTTTTATTTTAATTGAGTAAAACTGTTTAAGCAGAAATTTATATTTATATTTTTCATTAAAAAAATGTGTTATTTTTCACTTTTATATTTCTATTTTCATTCAAACAATGTGAAAAAGCAGGATTTTATATATATTTGTTTCATTCAAAAATTGTGTAAAAAGAGTTAACTGCTGTGGTGGTATGTTTTAATAAGGTTACCAATAAGTAAAAGATATTTAATAGTTGTCTATTTTTTTTCATTACTGTACCGAAAAAAACCGAACCGTGACTTGTGTACCGAGGTACGTACCGAACCGAGATTTTTGTGTACCGTTACACCCCTAGTCATGCTTAAATGAAGCACTGCCCACTAGCCGGAGCAAACTTTCTCACGTTACAGCTTAACAGTACACTAAAATAAGGTTTCAGAATCTTGATTTATATTTGATCAGCGCTGCCTGCTTTGACGGCACTTCTCGAGCAGTGACATGATTGACAGCTGTGTTAAAGACTTCTCGGCTCTGACTGGTTGTTACTCTTCAGCCACTGTGGACTCTAGCAAATACTTTTCAAAGCAGTAGGAAGAGCCTTCCACAGACTATCTGTCTCATGTCATGCTGTGTGAATATAGTGACAGTTACAGAAAATATGATAAGAATTTTTTTTTCAACTGCTTCAAGTGTGAACAACATCAACTGAGAATCAACTGGGCCTCATGGACCCATCAGTGAAACTGTGAGAAGTATTTAGGTCATGATGTGACCTGTGAGTGTAGATGCAAATCTTTGTTGTGCAACTGTAGTGCCAAATTTCAGTTTGGCTGGTTTTGGAGAAGACAGTTCCAGAATTTGTTTGAAAATAGGACCAATGACAGCCAAGCAAATGGAGTGTGTAGCTGGTACGGAATTATTACCTTGGTTTAGCAAATATTAGCAAGACTGATGGTACCCAGAGTGCTGCTGTGCAAAATGACACCCAGAACCAACTTCAGATACTATTGGAAACTGATCTATATCCAGCATTTAACTTAGTATGATCAACTGACAGATTCAAACAAGCTTAAAAATGTTTCGCCTCCACAATGATAGATGACCTATATACGTTAAATGGAATCAGGCTCACTGACCATCCTTTGTCATCGTCCTCTGCCAGCTCCTCCACGTCCTCCTCTGGAGCGTCCTCAGTGATGGCTGAAGACAGCTTGGACTTGAAACGATTGAGGAGGTCCAGTGTCTATCAAAAACATCAGACATAATTTAATATATATAGTACAAGGGGCAAGATGAACTAGTATCCACCCTGTCTCCTGAACTGATTTGTATTTCATGTTCAGTTGAGTTCTTTTACCTGTTGTTCTCTGGTTGAGCCTTTCTTCAGTTTTTGCTTCCTCTGCTCTTCGTACTTCTTCCGTCCCTCCAGATACTCAGCCACCGCCTGACTGGTTGGCTTTTCATCCACTGCAGAGACAAGAGAGACAACACTTGTGATTACTATTAACACTTAGTTTACTCTCTCTAAATCTTACATGGCCTTGATTCGTTCTTCTTGGGAGCCACCTTCTGAAAAACCCAAGCTGCACCCTCCTGGGTTAAAAAATGAAGCAAACTTGGGAGTCAGAAAAATTGCAGTTCCTTAAATGGCCACTTGAGGCTGGCTACAGAAGTGAGTCAATCTCCATCGACCCTCGTGTTAAAATGCCCAACTTTACAGCAGAATAGCCTGGTACAAAAAACAGTTTTGGTCTCTGTAGCTAATTTCAACATTTATGACAACTCTACAGGGGGGGATTTTTTTGTTAGTAAGGCTTAAAGTTATGCATGATATCAAGTGACAGGCAGTCTTTGAGTCACATCCACTCCACACTCCTCCACAGCTCCAGCTTCTTGTTCAAGTATGGTCATTTAGAGCTTCACAAATCCAAGAAGGCGATGATGAAAATGCCAAGCTTAAGGCTTCAGAACACGAGTCCCCAAACCAGTGGGTGATGTCACGGGGGCTACGTCTATTATTTTTATACTCTATGGAAAAACAGTAATAAAACTATAATTTTGTTGGGCAATCAGTCAGTCTCTCAACAAAACAATACACTAACCTGGAACACCCAGCTGAAAGTTAATGACACATAATCAGATACAATGATAAATTCTAAATTATTTTACCATAAGATTTCTTATATCTTTTAATAATGTTGCTTCAGGTACTCAGACAACATTTAACAAATGAACACGCACTTTCTGTGAAAATAGTTTACCCCTGCAAACAGACATAAAAAATGAAATGTACAACATCATTCAGATTTTTGGTTTCAGAAGAGCAGCTAGCTTGGATATATATTTTACTAACCATAAAGTTTTTCCATGCACAGTTTTCCCTATTATTACCTGCGCCAAGGAGGCCATGTTTTTAGTTCAATTCTCTGTTTCTCAGCAGGATTACATAAAAACTACTGGCTGAATTTTCATGAAACTTGGTGGAAGGTTGTAGCGTTGGCCAAGGAAGAACCTATTAAATGTTATTGGATACACAAATTATTTTTTCACTTTTCTTAACATTACGAGATAAGACAATTGGCCTTCAGTCATCTTGGGCCCACAGAAATGCAGTCTTCCTACAAAAGCTAAAAAAGAAATACCGAAGTAGGACAGTTAGAGGTTCCCCGATGTTACGCGTTGACAACATTTGGCGAGAAGAAATACCGCTGCTTCACATGCTCTCTGGCACTTAACAGATGAGGGGCTTAAAAAATATGCAGAACATGATCAGAGAGAAAAGATAAAAGCATGTAATGCTTGTCAAGCTGTGTGTGCAACAGTTGCAGCCGTACATGATCTGAGAACATGATAATAAGAGAGGTGAAGAGATGAAGCAACACGGGGCAGCTCTCTCATCTCAGATTGACGTGCTCTGCATGAAACCATACTGCTGCCAGCCCTCACAAAGATGTAGTGATCCAAAGGCGCAACCTAGTAACCCCTCACTTTATCTTTCTCAGAGATGACCTAAATTCCGCCTGCTACCTTATACCCCACACCTTATGTAACTGATCCCTCCTGGGGAAGGAAAGACCCCTTTAATCCTAACCAGAGACAGGACACATTAGCACATGTGCACTTCATCCACATGGTTGGAGGAACACAAAAACAGAAGTTAATAGACTGGTGTTCCTGAAATATTAGCAAGGGGTCATCTTTTTATAAATGTGTGTTTAGGTTATAAACTAAATGGGAATACAGTACATTTTTAAAATTGAATAAATTAAACTATAAAAGAAGAAAAACCCTTCTTTTTGAGAATTAACCTGAAACTTTATTGATAATTAATTAATCGTTTAAGACAGTGGTTTTCCAACTTTTTACACCACGTACTACCTCAGAAAATATTAGAAAATATTGTCCTTGTACCGCCGCTATGACTAACGTTTAAGTACAGTAGTGTAGGCCGACCCTATTCAGCTACGCACAGTTGACACAGGAGGCAGGTTTATTCCCAATCAGAAGATTAGGAACAGACGTGCTGTACCATAGGTTAGCACCAGAACTGGCATTAAAACTCTTTCATATACCACAAGCGTACTATCTTGCCATCACAGTTTAACATGTAACGAATCATGGACGTATGGGCGCGCTAAGTTCATGAACATGACTATGTAGCAGGCTGATATCGAAACATATCGAAAATGACATTTTAGTTATCACATAGTTCAAGTATTTTCATTTGAAATGTACTTATTTTGATATCTTTATACACACCGATCAGCCAAAACATAAAAACCACCAGCTGGTGAAGTGAACAACATTTATTGTAACAATGCAGGGTTCTTCTGAGGAACCTTGGGTCCTGGCATTCATGTAGATGCTACTTGACATGCACCACCCACCCAAACACCAATACAGACCAACAAACCCCCTCACGGCAACACCCTGATGCCACACCACGAAAACTGTTCAGGAATGGCCTGAGGGAAGTAACAAAAAGCTCAAGGCGTCAACCTGGCCGCCAAATTCTCCAGATCCGATTTCGATTGAACATCGCCGGTACCTTACCTCACGACCCAAGGGACTCAAAGGATCCATCAACAACACCTTGGTGCCAGACAACACAGGACACACCCAGAGATCCTTCCTCAATGCCTCGACAAGGCAGAGGCCCCTTCATAGATCGGACTTGGCTCTGATCTATCGAGCCCTGGACAAAGGACCTCCTGGGCACTGGTTTGTCCCACAGATGCTTGATCAGATTGGGATCCGGGGAATATGAAAGCTAGATCAATGCCTTGAGCTCTTTGTCACGTTCCTTGGACCATTACTGAGCAGTTTTTACAGTGTGGCATGGTGCACTGCCTTGGTGGGTGGCTACTGCCATTGGGGATACTGTTGCAGTGAGCGGGGGTACTTGGTCTATGACAATGTTTAGGTGGGTGGAGTGCGTAAAGAGGCATCCACGTGAATGCCAGGACCAAAAACTTCCAAGTAGAACATTGAATTGTAATGAAATGTACCTCACCTCACAGCTAAAGGGTGTTCAAACCTAGGCTTGGGGCCCTTCCATATGGAGTTCGCATTTTCTCCCTGTGACAGCGTAGGTTTTCTCCGGGTACTCCAGCTTCTTCCCACAGTCCAAAGATATGACGGTTAGGTTAACTGGTGACTCGAAATTGCCAGTAGGTGTGAATGTGAGAGGTTGTCAGTCTCAATAAAGGCGTATCTGATCTGATCTGTGGACGTCACCTTGGGCTCTGGGAAACTGTGATGGATAGTTTTAATTTTTTTCAGCCATTTTATGAATAAAGAGAAAGCAATCACCGGACTAATAAATAGTGAAATGATTATTAAGTGCAGCTAAAATGTAAAAGTGGAAACTACAGCAGACCGGTCGAGAGAGTAAAAGTCATTTCACTGACGGGAACCCTGGGAATAATTCTCCACCCAACTGTCCTCCTCTGCAGTACGTGTGAAGTAGTCTCTCATCACGACTGAACGCAGAGACAATCAGCGTGCTGACATTGGTGTCTCATGCAGTTAATGTGCTTCTGTAAATCTCCCAGCTCAGACGCACAGGCTGTGAAGTCACAGAGTGGCAGACAGTGAGCACAAGTCTGCTGGCTGCTGGAGCGCTCGCTTTCCACAACAAAATGTGATGTCACACATGCCGCCGACCCCGGGACAGCGTCACCTCGCTGGACAAGCTGGGCCATTTTTGGGCTGGATGCTGTGACACATTCAGCCGCACCAAATAAATGATGTAACAGAGAAAACACTGAAGTCCACTGCTTGTCGTTACAAATATAAAACCTGCTATGTTATGTTTCAGTAAATGTGTATTTATTTATTTATCTATCTGTATAGCTGTCAAGTGCTGACAAAGATCTGCTAATAAACACTAAATTACAGAAGTAATGCAACAGAGATGAAGGCCAAGCTGCAGACAACTGCTCGAGACCAACAAACAACAACACCGGTTGTTTTTAGCGTGTCATTGCTGCGTTTCCTGCTTTTCAGACACCAAACATGAGTGTTTTTAGAGACCTGTGGCTCTTTAACCACTGAGACGTCACAGCTTTTCCACTGGAGGTAACCACAGCGTGTTGAGATGGTAAGTTTCAGTGTATCCTTCACATAATAACATGCAAATGTAACATATACAAGGTTTGCATAAACGTGTAATGCAAACAGTTTTTCTGGTGATTAGGTTGAACATAGAGGAGAGGAACAAGTGAAAATGTATTAAAAGGCATTGATTCAGCAATACAAATAAAGTTTGTAAATTGAAATTCAAAAATAAATTTCCTTCGTGTTATAAATTCTTTGGCATTTTAATTTTCTTATTGAGGTTTTAAGTGTTGTGTTTATAAAATAAGTTCACAGTGGAAACATAACAACAGGAGGCTTCGGTCCCAGAGGGAGTTTCGGTCGACAATCACTCAAGAAAACGGCAATTATTCTTGTTTCTCTGGCTTTCAGGCTGTGAACGCTGTAAATACTGAGCAATCATTGGAATTTCCAAACGCAGCCTTGGAAATCTCTGTGCAACACTTTCCCCGGTGTCAACATGGAAGTCTGCTCCGCTGCTTGAGGGGCAAAACCTTTTTCTGATGATTTATGAGACGAGCAAGTGATCTCCCTCCATCTCTCCCCCAGTCACCTCTCCTGCTCTGCCTCCCTGCTGCAGCCTGTGACATGCTGGATGCTGACTGATGACGCCCCGAGGTCCTATATGAGCAGCACACATCACCTTCTCCAGCTGTTGTCGCTAACTACTATCTTTGAGTTTGATGGCCTTTCTAACTACATTCCTCCCCTCTCCTGTCACCTGGGCTCCAGAAAGCTACAAATCACACTGCTGATGTTGTAGCAACCAAAGGCTGTTGTGGACGACAAACGGCCTCTTCTGTGGGATAAAAGCTTCGCCCTCTGTGTTCAACAATCAGCACTTTTTAAAGCTGTGAGGCCATGTTATT